TCCGCGGCCCGGGGTGGGAGCGGAGCCGCCGCGCCCGGTGCCTGGAGCAGGGGATGGTTTGTTTTCATCGCGGAACGCAGATGGTTTGTTGTCATCTCTCCTACGCGGGGCTCGCTGGAATAAACCTTCTGTCGCTCGCTGTGTCCGCGCCGTGAGGCTCCGGGCGCGCGTGGAGAGCTCCGGGGCAGCGCTCGCAGTTCGGATCTCCTCATTAAGGGACAGTTACGCGACTGAGTGTGTTGCAAGTGTCCAGGGTGATAATTTACTCGTTAGCTTCTTGCGTGGTGTGTTGAAAAGCTCGGTCTGAATCCCTGCGCCGCCGAGGAGGGGAAGCACAGCTGAGACTCTGGCAGTGCCAAGCCTGGAGCTGTCAGTGTGATGTTACAGTTGTGAATGTGCATTCCCAAGAGATGGAGGCTCAGAAGTCGTGTTGGTTCAATATGTGATCTATTCCCATCTGAGGGGAAACCCTCAGTAAAAGACAAGGCTTAAAAGGAGATATCAGCTCCTCTCTTTCTGCAGGCACAGTAGCCTCCCAGTTCAGAAGAAGGAGGTGATGTCATCTTTAAAGATCTTAGTTTCATTTTCATGTAGAGTGATGATAGTAAATATGTTTGCTGTGCCAGAGCATCGTGAGCACAGTCTGTCCAAGGCTCTGGCAAATCTTTCATCAGCAGTGGTCACCTTGCTCCATTTCCCATTGTTCTGTGACATGCCAGAAGGTCTCAGGGTCAGTGGAGAGAATCTGGAAACTGTGGTAAAACAGATAAGAATGATATGTATGGGGTGAGAAAGCACCAGGTGGAAACTACTGTATTATGCTGGTTTGGGACCTCAAGTTACTTTTTATAGACATCTGCTGATGTGTGCCCAGCCAGATGTCCTTGCTGTGGTCAGGCTGTTTACCCAGTAGTAGAAATCTGTTGCTGGTGCCCTGAATGACTTGCACCTGCAGTGGTTCTGTAAAAAGCAGTAAGTGATTTCCTTGTGTAACAAAGTCCAGTTACATTTTGCTAAGCCTTCACAATTAAATATATATCTGCTGAGTGACATTAAATAAATGGAAATCAGATAAATGCAGGTTTTCTAGTCTGAAACTGGTTTATGCCAGACTGCAAGTGGACTTTGATTTGATCATCAGCATTTTTAGATACAAACAGTAAGATCTGATTACTGTTTACATTGGTATTGCCATATAGGACAGTTGATGATTCTTAATGAGGTTGAAGATTACTGTAGTTGAAGAATTACAAGCTTGTTAGATGGAGATATCAAGAGGTAGTATAAAATGGGGAAATAATGGCTGTGGGGAAATTATTAATAGATTTAATCAAAGACAGGGTCTTGGGCTGGTCTCTCTCAGTATTTGGGAGGTTGGTATTAGGTGATCTTTAAGGTTCCTTCCAACCCAAACAGTTCTATGATTCTATTTTAGTTGAGGACTATGGTGCACAAAATAACATGCAGTAATGACGCTTGTGGTGACCCAAAGCTGGGAACCATCTGCAGGGCCAAAGAGGAGTAAAAGATCCTTCAGGAAAAATGGAATGACATTGAGTATCAGCATAAATAACACCTATGGGCTGAAATGCAGTAGTGCAGGGTTTGGGGCTGGTACCAGGGAACAAGGATTTCAGTAACATGAAAAGAGACATGGATGTAGTAATGGGTCACAAGACATGAGCAACTGCTTTATGACTGAAAAAAAGAAATTGTGATCCTGTGTGCTGCAAAAGTGCTCATTTAAAGAGAGGCACAAAAGTGTGAACTTTGTTGTACATCAGCTCTGGTCATGCATTTTATAAAAAGGGATGTGCAGACTTCAGGAAGTGCCAAGAGCTGTTGGAATGGTGAAGTAAGTGGAGAGTCAAGAGTAAAGCTTGTTTTGCTAGGCAAGCTAAGGCCAAGAAGGGGCATAACAGTTTGAAAGTCCCTGTTAGGCACAGTCTTGCAGAGTTTGTAATTGAGACCTACAGCCACCAGTGCCATGGGAAGAAAGACTCCTGTAAATTCTGAGGACTCCTGTGATCATCTGGTGGGCAAAGCCCCCAGGAACACAGGGGAAACTCTTGGCTGGAATAGTGTTGTGTTTGTGACTCTTTGCTTTCTTTTCTGGAGGCTAAATGTATTATCCAAGCCCCACTGCCATGCCATCCAGAGGAGAGAAAAAGAAATCCGGAGCACCTCCTTTTTGCTTGAGGGAGGTGTGTTGCAGTGCCAGTATCTCTATCAAGGCTGACACTGTGAGTCAGGCAGCTGACTAAGATGACAGACACCTTGGATGTCCTCTTTCCCCCCAAGATGTGTTCATGATTACAAGTAGCATGGAAGATCTGCTGTGTGGAAGAGATCCTGTATTCTTAGGAAGACGCTGTCACCTCCCCAAACTACCGGTGGGAACTTACATGTGATCAGAATTTTTTTCTCCCCCTTTTTCTTTTGCCTGTTGGAACATTTTCCATGTGATGGAGGGTGCCACGGTGTGGCATCACATCTTCTGTGCAGTTACCTGGAGTATCTTAACCAGCCTGGATGTATTTAACTTCCCTTTTGGCTTTCAGTCAGCAAAGGTGAAAGCTGCATCCTCTGCTCTGCAGCTGCATCTTCAGAGAGCTTCCTCGAGACACTGTGTAGCTGGGGAGGAAGGGGGATGGATGTTCTGGTTTGGCTCCCCATGTGCCATAAATAAGAGTTAACAGACGCCGCCACCAGTTGGCAGTTTCAAATTTAAAAACAATGTCAAGGCTTTTTTTCTGAAGTTCCAGGTGGCTAAGCTGTCGATCAAAATCGCTGTTATACATGAATGTGGCACTGAATCCGTGTATAACAAGACTCTTGATGGACAGGGCTTTTTAAAAGAGAGGGATTGGGATGGGAACTCTGCCATTCCTGTACTGCTGGCAGTTACTCATGTAGGAGGTTGCCTAGTTCACAGGCAGGTGGAGCTCCTTTTCCTTTTGCCCTCAGGTGCTTTTGTGCCTGATTGCAATTACAGCTTGTAATAATGTGTGGCACTTTACACCAAAAGTGTTTTACTTGAGTAAATATTTCTCTGGATTGAGATTACTGCTCTGGTTTGCTGACTTGTTTGCGCTTATGGAGGTTACAGAGCATGTGCACCGTGGGATTGCTGAAATTCCAACTGCATCCTGAAAAATATCTCTCAGAGTTCACTTTCCAGTTGAGAAATGTTTTCTGGCGACTCTTCAGGAAGAGAGATCTGTGTATCTCTGTGGCTGTCTTGGAATTAAGGACTGTGTTTATTTGTTGCTGAATTACATAATCTCCAGTCGTTACTTAAAGGAGGGGAGAAAAACAATCTGCTGTTACTGCAAAGCAAGCATTTCTTCCGTCTGATACCGGTTCCATTTCTTCACCTCCGCACTGTGGTTTCACATTCCTAGCTGTTCTCATCCCATGTGTTTCCTACTCTGTCTCCTAGTAGGCAAAGCTGTTTGCAAAACCTGTTTCCTTTGTAAAGAAAGCAGCTGTGGTTGGTTCGGCTCTCAAATGACTATTTGCCTTCTCAGAAAATGCAGAAGAAAATATAACAGACATTTTTTAAACTCAATTTCCAAATAATCTAAGAGAAATATATGTGATGTTTCTTATTTCATCCTTTTTTCTTTTATTTTTCAGGGTTTGGGTATCTCCTAATTGAAGAGAGTCAAATACTGATTGCAAGTGAATCCTCCTCAGTCAGCCTGTTGGATGCCTCTAAGAACATAAGAAGTCATGGCAGAAAATGATGCAATGCCAACCTTACCAAAAAAGTGTGGCCCATACATTTCATCTGTAACCAGTCATGGCATGAATTTGGTAATTCGTGGCATTGTGCTGTTTTTTATTGGCGTATTTCTTGCGTTAGTATTAAACTTACTGCAGATCCAGAGAAATGTTACTCTCTTCCCCCCTGACGTGATCACAAGCATCTTCTCCTCAGCTTGGTGGGTACCACCCTGCTGTGGCACAGCATCAGGTAAGTTCAGTTATGTGTGCATGCCTGGCGTGGAGATGGCTAAGTGGAGAGGGAGGTAGATAGTTAGAAAAAACTGTATGAAAGGTGGAGAAGATAAAAAAATTCTCTTCCAGCATCACTTCCCTTTTTGAGCTGTTGCTTTCATTCTGATCTCCCTGTGATATGCATGTGTCCTGAAATTGTTGTTCTGCTAACTTGCTGTATGTAACTTCCTCACTAGAAGAAGTGGAGGGGTAGACATTGATCTCTTCTCTCTGGCAGTCAGTGACAGGACCCGAGGGAATGGCCTGAAGTTGTGTCTTGGAGGTTTAGGTTAAGTATTAGGAAAAGGTTCTTCACCCCGAGGGTGGTTGGGCACTGGAACAGCTTCCCAGGGCAGTGGTCACAGCACCAAGCCTGGCAGAGTTCAAGAAGCTCTCAGGCTCATGGTGTGATTCTTGGGCATATCCTGTGCAGGACCATGAGTTGGACTTGATGATTCCCATGGGTCCATTCCAGCTCCAAATGTTCTGTGATTCCTTAACTTGTCTTACTGTCAAGCAGAGCATAATCTTTGCTTTTTCTTTTGGGTTAGAATAGAAATTTAACAGACCTGAGAAGGTGCTGCCACTTGTAACCTGGAGGTTGGGTTACAAGAGTGCTCTCAGACAGCCCTTGAAATATCCTGGCAGTGTCAGACTGTGCAGCACACAGTGCCTTGTTTGAGCACAGCAAACCACCCTGAAAAATTCTCCTTTGTGGTACGGCTGTCCATTTGTTCCTCGTTCCAGTTCAAGGTGTATCTTCAGCTCGGTGAAGCTGGGAGCCCTGTCTGTGGCTCAGGGAGCTGAGCCACAGTTGGCAGCTGTAGAGGCTCCGTGCAGAACAGAGTACCTCAGTAGACTCATGTTTCAAGTCAGGTGATGTGAACATGCTCCATTTCTCCCATGACCACGTAGGGAGTTGTGGCTTTTGTGTGTTTAGCTAGTTTAAGTGAGATGTCTACTGAAGGTAGTAAGAAATATCCCATTTTCCTCTTTCAACTATCAAGGCGTATTCTATGTTACCAGCCTGATGAAATTTGACTTTCTACTTGACTTTGAAAATCACTGGTCTTGTGGGTCAGTTTCATGCTTTACTAAGGGAGTATTCTGAGCAGCCTGTACTGGTAGATTCTCCGTTGGTGAAACTTTGTTACAGCCAGTGTCTCCCTAGAATTCAGCTTTAATAAGATTGAGAAGCTCAAGATTCTAGGTATTCATATGAGTCAATAAACTTTCTTTGAGCATAGCATTGCTGTTTGCTAATGATAATATTTAAGGCTGGTTTTTTCCTCCTAGTCTGATTGCTTTTTTTTTGATACATTCTTGAACTCCTACACCCCAGATGTCAATAGAGGAGCTTGATTTGAAAGGAAACCCTCCAAACAGTTCCCTGAATGTTAGTTTTGTTCTCCAGTGGAAATTTATTTGGCATATTATGGTGGCAGTTACATACCTGCTTTACCTGCTGGTTGTCTTAGTCTTCTTCCTGTTGTCTTGCTGAGATTGTTGGTTAGTTTTTGGCTCATATCCTGTGTTTGCTGCATTTTTCTTTCACACTTTAAAGTGATCATCTTGACAAATATGTTGAGTAAAGGTTTGATATTTTATATATGGAGTAGTGGAGGTTGAAGTGATAGAATCCTAACTTGCAGCAGCAATGCACAGGGTTTGCAATGTTCTCTGCAGTGTTCACACTGTTGGCTGTTTGCATTAGGCAGCACCTTCTGCTCTGCTGGGTCATCTGAGAACACTGCAGCTGCAAGTGGGAACTCATGAAGGCTACACCTTACCATCAGCTCACAAGAAACTTGTGGGCCTTTCTGGATCTGATGGAATGGTGGTTTTGATGGAAATACTGGATATGGCTTGTGAAGTGTAGTTAGTCACCTAATAGGCATTTGCACTACTTGATTTTAAACCACCTGATTTAAAGATATTACAGCCTTAATTGGCTTCTCCCAGCAGGAGTGACCCCTGTTGAGGTTCTTTCTTTTTCATTATCAGTCTTCATTTTCTTTCCTTATCTTCTCTGCTGGCATACATACAGAGAACCTCTGTGGTAAATGCTGATAATTCACCCATTTTCTTACCATTTGTACTTGCACAGCCTTCCTGGAATTGACGTGAACATTTCTCTGCAGTATGGTTTATTATTATGAACAGAATAAAGGTATTTTGCATATTTACAATCAGTGGTGATCGAGGCTGCATTCAGAGAAGTCCTTTCACCCATCACTGTTATTAGTCATGAGTTTGGCACAAGGCCTTTGGCAAGAAAATTGCTCAGGGAGTTTTTTTTCCTCTTCAGTTTTACTGGTGATTTATTTTCCCAAATCCTGGAGATCGTTTTCTTCTGTGTCAGAATAAAGAGCATTTGCAGTATTACCCACAGCAGCATGCTGGGCTGAAGGCGCTGGAGATGATGGCTCAGGCTCTGCCCCACTCCTACCACACCAGTCTAACATTGTTATTCTTATTCTGGGGTTGATTGGTAACATTCTTTTTAGCTGCAGTTGGAGTAGAGAACGCATTTATAAAGAAATACTGAAAAGAGCATCATAGTTCCCTGGGGTTAGAAGTCCTGTTTGCTCTCTGTATCCAACAGCCACCACAGGCTCTTGGCTTTCTCTCTTCTGGGTGAGCTTGATAGTAGCATTGAAGAAGATAAAAACATTATCTGAACAAAAACTCCTTGTAACAACAGCAATATTGACGTTACAAACCACATTTTTGCCCATACTCTGGTGTTTGTTTTGCTTTTAGTTAAATGTGTATGTTTGATGTGTGGGATCTTCAAAAGTCTCGGCCTACAAGCTGTTACTGCTCTTTTTGAACTACAGCACATGTTTTGGTGTGGGGGAGAGCTCTGTTATCCTTTGCTTCTAGTCAGATTGTGTCTGTATTGCTGTTTCTGCCAGGTCTGCAGTTACTGCTGCAGAGGGTGAGGATGCTGCAGAAGTTTACAGGGCTTTTTATTAAATAATGAAATTCCTCTTCTTTTACAATGTATGTTTTTGTGTTACTTAACCTTAAAAGATCTGTTTTATAAATAGCAAAATCTAGATTGTCTTTATTTTAGTTAAATATTGGCAGTGCTTTAACTTCTGGGCCTTTTTTCTTTCATGTCTTCACAGCTGTGATTGGGTTATTGTACCCATGCATGGACAGACATCTGGGAGAGCCACATAAATTCAAGAGAGAATGGTCCAGTGTGATGCGATGTGTAGCAGTCTTTGTGGGAATAAATCATGCCAGTGCTGTATCCTATATTCAAATGAAATTGGCTATAACAAATGGGTTTCCACTTAAAAAAGCTCACAGAGTCAGTCATGGTGAATTGTTGTTAAAGATGTAACGTGCAGCGTTTTTGCAAGGGAAATGCAGAACGTGTGTTAGTGTCAAACTGTCATAGTAGTATTGGAGGTGATAAGTCTCAGTCCTTTTTGTTCTGAAAAATTGTTTTGTTAGCTATGTCTCAATATTGAGCTTTGTCTTTCTTGTAGTGTTTATTTTCTTTGAAGGACTAAAGTTAGTGTGGGAAAGTGTTCATGTGGGAAGTCTTACAGGAAAGTGCTTTAAGACATTCCAAGCTGATGTCCTTTTAATACAGTAGTAAGAGGTCAAAGCCCAGTCTTAAGGTCATTAATGAAGCACATGCACTTTGCAAAGAATGAGGAAAACTCAGCACCAGGAGTACCCAGAACTTCAAAACACAAGGAAGCAATGCAACCCCATTCTGCAAATGATGCCTGCCTTGATGCTGAGAGAGCAGTGACCAGTCCTGTGGTCATTCAGTAAGAGCAATTAGAAGCCAGTCAGCATGTTGCAGTACATTATACTCTTCCTAACTGTGTATCTGCTCAGATATATCCTTGCACAAGTGTGCTCAAAGCTGGTGTCCCTTCCCTCTGAAGCAGCTGAGCACACACTGAGTGACAGGATGCCTTTTACATGCACTGGTGCACCTTACTGGCAGTGCTGTGAGTCATGGTGGTTTTGTGTAGTCATGCCTAGTGCCTCCTCTGTCAGCTGAAACCAGGACCTGTTTGTGAAAATTGGGGTCTTGTAAGCTAATGAGCAAAACAGCTGATCGTCTCTGCCATGCTTGTCTCCATCAGGGTCAGCTCCAAAAAATGGTACTAAGAAGTTCTGATCCTGTGCTACTCAGTCTTCTCATTCGCAGGAAAAGAGGCAAGTGAAAGATGTGAGAGCAGACTGAGTTCTCACTGAGGTGGCTTGGCCCCTGGATGGGTTTGGTTGTTTGGTTTTGTTCCCACCCAGTGCTATCCAGTGTGACTGAATGAACTGGACCTGCCAAGATTCCAAGTCGCTCTCACTGTCCCTCACAACCCTTACTCTCCTTGACAAAGATACCTGAGTCTGGGGCTGTGGTACACAGTGAGTACACTGACCTGGCCTGTACCTGTTGGGTGAGCACGTGCAACTTTGCTGCTTATAAGAAATGCAGGAGAGTTGACAGCTTCTCTCTGCATGAGTCTGATTATTTACAGCAAACCTTCTGCAGTTCTCTAACAGCTGTTACCCATATTCCAGGACATCAGTAATGTACTGTCTGTATTTCCTCCTTGACAGCTTTCCAGACTACTTGCTCTTCAGCTATTACCAGCTCTGCATGTTGCCATATTTGGAGAGGGTTTTGGTTCAACACTTTTTCTGGTGCTATTGATTTTTATCCTGTAATTATTTATTTCAGTTAGTTGAGCTTCTTTCTCATTTCCTCTGGGTCTCTCTCCAGATCTTTGTGAGAAAATAGGGCAGTGGGTTTTTTATTGTCATCCCATAAATTTGTTTTCAGGCTTATGGAACTTGACAATCTCCTTTTTAATTATCTGTTTTGGAAAAGAGTAGTGAGGATGAGTTAGTGTTTCCAAAACATTTTGGAGGATGTGGAACACAACAAAGATATCTGGAGTGACTTCGTGCTTCTATCGCATTGTTGACAAAACTGACCTTGAGTGTTGATATAAGTGAACACTTTGCAGTAATACTTAAATTTTGTTTTATAGAAAGCAGTGACATTTTAATGCTAAGCTGAATGTAAAGTAGCATGTAAATTAAACAACTTTGCAATTAAGTAAGAGTGAAAAATACCTTTTTTTGGTAAATCTCTGTCACTTGGAGAAGTCTAATGCTAGATTTAAGATTTCATATTGAGTGTAACAAAGGACCAGGTGAGGATGAGATGTTCTTACTCTGAACAGTAACCATGTGCATTGTGTGCCTGTATAAAATTCTTGCAGTGTCTGGCAGGTGTGTAGTCTCTTTGCTCTTGTACAGTGCTTAGACCCTAAAATATGAAGAAGTGTCATAAGTTGTTTTTTTCCCTGATATATTGACAACAATTACAAGGCTTATTTCCTCACACCTGATAACTGTGTGAGAGCTGATGCAGCTAACACTGTATTTTTTAAACGGTATTTTTGTTTGTTGTGCCAAAATATGATAAACAGATATGGTATTTCCAAGCTTATCCTTAACAACCGATGCAGAAGGTGGATTTTGCCAACAATATCCAGTTGTCTCTCACATTAGCAGCTCTGTCAATTGGACTGTGGTGGACATTTGATAGATCACGAAGTGGCTTTGGTCTTGGGGTAGGAATTGCTTTCCTGGCTACATTGGTATCACAACTTCTGGTCTACAATGGAGTTTATCAGTAAGTATTTACTCCCCTAAGGTTAAATGATAATGTTCTGAAGCTGTAGCGTAAAATTAGAATCAAGGGTACAATTTGACATGATTTCCTAAGCTGTCAGTAGCTAATTTTGAGCATAGCATAAACTGGGCTGTTTATTAAAGCTGTTGTGTTTGTGTAAGTGAGAAATCTAGTTGGAAATTGCTAATTGAAATAAAATTGCTACCTTCCCAACACCATAACATGCTTTTATTTCAGTTGAACAAATGCAGCTGTGATCAATAAGAAGCCTCCTTTGTTGTTTGCTGCAAGTAATTAGATTTCTATAATAAATGCCTTTTTGTAGTTGAAATGTCCTAATATTTGTGAATTTGTCTCATGATTGGAGAACTCTCTGTGTTGCACAGTGAGCTCAAAAATGTGTGTTCTCTTCCAGATACACATCTCCAGATTTCCTCTATGTTCGTTCCTGGTTGCCATGTATATTTTTTGCTGGTGGAATAACTATGGGTAACATTGGCAGGCAGCTGGCAATGGTGAGTTTGGAGGGGTATTGATTGCCTTCCAGTAAAAGTTTAAATGTACATCTCATTCCTTTCTCTATATGTACCAACCAGCTATTTGACTTATGTGTGTGTAATGAGGTAGAAATCAGTGATCATTGCTTGTTGATATAATTAGTGAGCCATTTGTACTGTTACTCAGAGCACAGCCCATGCTTTGCTCTGTGCACTCTCAGTTACATACTTTTAGGTTCTGAAAGGACCAGGAGCTGAATAAGAGCTCCTGTGTTTGAGGAGGTCAGGCCATCCCTTAAGTCTGACCTGCTTTTTCTGCTGCTCAAGGAGACAACTTGCAGCCACATTGTGTGTACAGAACTTAGGGAGACCAGATGTATCGGGGTGAAGTTTAAGATAAATTATTTTATCACCTGTTTTATGAAAAATCACTCTCATAACTCTTTTTCATTAGTTATGTGAATTAATATTATTTTGTCAACTTCTGTTTTTCAGTATGAATGCAAAGTCATTGCAGAGAAGTCTCATGAGGACTGAGAGGAAACAATATGCACCTTTTAAACAGGAAAAATGTCTGACAAATGACTGTTGGAGGAGCAAAAGGAACACTTGACTATGAAATTGCCAAAATGCAATTTTTTCCCTTGAGTGGTATACTTTACTGCAATCTGTGATTGCTGCTTCTATAGAAACCTTGATGTCTGATTTTGATTACTGTGAAGTTACAATAGTATGCAATACATTTGACAATATTGGTTCAATTATAGGATTCTTTTTTTTCCAAATCTAAACAGTTTACCATAAATTCCTGTCTGTCCATAATGTTACAGTGCCAAACTGAACATTTGCACTACATTTCCATAGCTGAAACTTCTTGCTTCACTTTATCTTGGAAGTTTTGAGGAGTTTGTTCTTAACAGCTAGTGAAAGACAGGGGGTTGGTTCAAACTTAGGAATGAAGATCTCTTTCCATGATGATAGCCTGTCATACCTGTATGAAATGTATGGATTGCAGATGAGCTTTGATGCAATAAGGAACTGATATCTGCCTATTAACACACTGTATCATTCTTCTTACTCACCTTACAGGTGAGGAGACAATACAGGTTACATGGGTTGTTGCTGTAGCATTTCATTTGTCTGTGGTACGTGCTCAGTATCACAGAAGGCAGAAATGGAACCTCAGCCTGGAAATTATTTGCTGTTTTTACCCTGTTACAACCAGTATACATGTTTGTATATGAATCTATGTGAACCATCATCAGATGTGGACAGATTTTGGAACTGCTTGAGTGTGCAATGGGATATAGTTCGGGTCGTTCTCGTACAATCCTTTAAGCTGACTTGTGTCGGTCCCTCATAGGAAAAAAACCTTATGGAGTTTTTATGGCAAAACTTAATTCTGCTGAAGTAAATCAGCCACTACCATATAGTGTCATAAACCCCTCCATTACCAATGTTGCTCCTTGTCTACCAGCTGCCCTGTTGGCAGGGATCAGCATGAGGAGGCAAGGCTGTGTTTTTAGTACCGATGTAGCCCTCATTCCTGTAACTGTGTCCAGGCAACCATAAATGCTTTTGTTCTTACAGCAAGAGGTGGAGAAATACTGGTCCCCCTGTTCTACAGGTGCCTGTACACAGAAAGCCTGGCAGGACAGTGAGCTGAAATAGGCTGTGTGCTAATTGGTTTCCTTCTTAAGAAGGATTTTAGTGTGTGACCAACCCATATTTGGGGGCATATGTGAAATTTCCTCTTGGCTTTGCAGCTCCCTTTTAAGACTGTAACATAAAAGTACTTGTGCAAGAAGGCAGAAAGCAGACTTCAAGAGGACACTGCTAACCTGTGCCTGCAGTGAATTTGGCATGGGATGTCTCCACTTTATTTTCCCCTCCTGTCTTTGTTGATGATGTTTTTATGTATTTGTTTTCCTCTTTTGTCCTGAAGTACTATTTTTTAAGTCTTCCATAAAAAGTTTATGAGACGTATTACAGTCACCTAGGGAGGCTGGAGTTGGTCCAAAGAACATATAGATGTTTAGACAAGTTTTTATTAATAAATGTGTGAATGCATTGTACACGAAGCTTGAACTAGGCAACTCTTTCAGTCTTAGCTGCTTGCCTCCAAGTCTGAAAAGTATGGAATAGAGTGCTTCCAAAGGCATTGTAACAAAAGAGGTGATCACAAAAGGAAAATTTCCTGAATGAGGAGTTGTGGAAATAATAAATAAGCAAGTGATGTATAAAGAGCTTGGTTCTGCAGCTCCACAAAGTGTCATCAACTTGTCACAGGTCCATGGCAGTTCAGCACCATGAAGCTTCCATGGGGTAATGGTTCAGGAGAGCATGTACAGAGCACTTTGCTTTGAGCAGAACTAGAACATGTTTAAGTAGATCCCTGACTAAAGGCTTTCTCTTAATCAAACCATATGGCAATAAGAAGCATTTTATTAATAAACCCAAGAAACTAGGCATGAACAAAGGAGTTTCTTTAGACAAGCTCTGGCATTTTGCTGAAGAAGCTGTTGGGTCTCTCTTTTACAGTATTTCACCTCATCCACCTTTTTTACTTCAACAAATGGCTTCAGCTTGGTGGGCTGCTTGATGAGTCCCTCTTGAGTAAACAAGGCATGAATGGCATATAAATTCAGATGTTTCTTATCCTAACTGTAGGGAATAACATGGCCCCTCAGTAGGCAGTGTGCTGACTTGGTAAACAGTGTAGTTTCATCATGACCAATGAGTGTGTACAACTGGAGATGAGTCACTGTTATTATTCACTTGGTGGTAGAACTGCTGTTACCTGCCAGTCTCAATACTTACCCAGAAGCAGCCCTGTGTATGTTAAAACGTGCAGTATGTGAGAAGTGGTTATTCTGCATCTGTGGCACCCACTCTGCAGCACTTTGCACTCAGATTCAGCTAAGCCTGGTTAGACTGTGCTGTCCGCTAACTTTTAAATTTCATTTTGGAAATTTTGAGCATGTTGTGCAAAGGCAGCAATCATCCAAAATAAATTTGGGTGGAGTCCTTTATTCTGTGTCTTATTGGTTTTTTCTTTATTTGAGTAATGTCAATACAGGATCACAATGTGGGTGTCCTGGTGTTTCCAACTGTGTGTAATTTTATGGCTGATGTGCTCAAACCCTGGAAAAGGTTCATGATGAGAATGCTGACATGGCCTTAACTTTGTGGAGTGAACATGCTGCTGCTCTATAGCATAGTTATAACATTAGACTGTCTTAAAACGTTCAATAGAGAATAAGTTATATTTTAGATACAACTTTATAAGCACTATAACCTCTTCCCCAATTAAGCTTTGTAAGGTCTATGCTGTTTAAACTGGCAAATTGCTGTTAAAAGCAAAATGTGCATTAAATACAATTACAACCTTGATTGATAGGTTTCTTCTTTCTTTAAGAAATTATGCTGATTTTTAAACTACACTGTATTGCCTTCTATCAGCAACCTCATAATAATTTTGACCATTTTGGTGGCATATCGGTTGCACATCTGTGTAGAAATACTGAAAAAGAAGCAGGAGAGATCAAATCAGCCACAATTCTGCCTTAATTAGCATGCTGAGCAGCCTCAAAAAATCTGCCCTTTTGAATCTGCAGTGGGAATAAGATAACTTCACTCACAATACAGAAAATAGAGATTTAGATATAAATAGCTGCTAGGAATATGAAAAAAAACCCCAACACAAACACCAGGGAAACTCTTAATATATTTGTATTTATTAATGTTCCGGTCTGGATATGAACTGAATGTTATTCTGATATTCACAGACTCCATTCATCGTGCCCATCACTCTGTCTCAAAAAAGATGTGACAAATAGGTTTGGCAATGTGTAATGGAAAAGCATCCAGGCAGAGGTGAGGAAAGGGTGGGAAGAGAGGTTCAGGGGGTTTAGATGCAGTCCCACAGCAGGACAGCACCACAACTGAAAGTTGGAAGGAGCACAGTGGGCAAATGGAAAAATCCCCTGTTTGTGTTGGCAACCTGTGACCCAAAATTCCTAACTCTGCTGTCAAAATGCAGCATCCAGGGCATGCCAAGTTTCTGACCACGCAAATTACAGTCAGGGATAGAAATAGCCATCATTTTGGATAGTAAGCACTAAGATTAGCCAAAAGTGCACAAGGAAAGGTGTTTTGCTAGAAACCTAACCTCTACCTTTTCTCTGTAGCCTCTCCATGAGAACATCGTCCCAGGGAACGGAAACTCCAAGTTCTTCCAGCCCAAGGGTGTTGAATGGAAAGTTGCCCATTTGGAGAGAATATTCCAACTGCTGAGCTGCCAGGCTCTTGCAAAACACATCTTGTGCCTCTCTTTATAACAGGGCTGCTGTAGGCAGCTACGAGGAGAGTAAACAAAGAAACTTTTCCTCCATAGCTTCTGTACTTCCCTGCTGCCATCTGGCTGGGAGCTGCCTCAGGGACCTGTGGGCATGCACCAGTCTTCCCTTTATATCTTTCCCAATATGTAAAGAAGGAACATAATTTTACCAGCTGCATCACCCTGGACATTTTGCCTATGTTTTTTACATTTTGGAGCAGTGTTACCAATAATTCCTAATGGTAACAGAGGAATGTAACCTGTGGAAGTGATGTAAAATGCCAAATGCAGTGCTTGTGAAAGTACAGGCACAGCTGGGCAGAGGGAACGCGTGTCTCGCCGTGGGAATAGCTATCTAATGCTGTTAGTTTTGATGCCAGTACTAAATGCAAAGCATGAGTAATTTTGCAGCTTAATGTTCAGCACTAAACAGTAAATGAAAGGTCAGTCCAACATGTTAACTGTCATGGAATAGTAAACACTCCTTTAATTGCTTCAGGCAGCCAGCTTGGATTTTTGGTGTATCTGTTGTCATGTTTTGAGCAGCATGGTCCAGAGACTTGTCCTGATTACCTCCCCCCGGTCAAATGACAAAGCCTCAAATTAAAGGATAAACTTTATGCCTAGGCTTTTCAGGCAGCATACTGGGAGTTTGTGCTTTGAATGCTTAAAAGCTGTGCTGGGGAAGAGGTAGGGGTTAGTTCTTGATCTGACTGGAGCCAAAATCCAGTTTGAAATGTAGTTTCGCGTTTTCTTGAGGTTTTCCTTTCTTGCTCTTCAGTTCTGAAGTACAGAAGTTCAGTAACTCCTGCTGCACTTTCACACTTTGTTTTTTCAGCCTGCCCAGCACTATTCCAGATAGGAATAGAAATAAATATAAAGGGAAAGGGCAGCTACTAGTTTTCCCCAGGCCAGGGTGCCCTGTACACCCATGTCAGACAGGCCATGTCCCCAGGTCAGGGTTCATAGGATTCACTTTCTGTACAGGCAGCAGTTCTGCCTTGTCTTTTGCACTTTATAACCTCTATGCAGGAGGTGTGACCTGTTGTACTGAGTTCTGCAGAGAGATGTGCATACATTGCAGAGCATTTGCAGGCAAGGTCCACGGGTGTAGCCATAAGATTTGATTTTTGCGACTTTGTTGGTAGAAATCCTAATATTGTGCCTTTTAAGCAACTGTGGCAAAATATTCATGGAAAGAAAAATATGTATTTATAAATATGTCTCTGTCTGAACTCTCAATGTAATTTTGCTGTTTCTGTTCTCTGATTAGTTCAGCCTTGTAACCAACATTTAGATATTTAATAAGTTTTTTTGGTAGTCAAACCTCAAAGCCTTATTTGTTTCATGCAGTTATTCAGGGAAAATGTGTGAACTAAAGTGAAAGCTGTGAGGAACAGGGTTGAAACTTAATTTACCAGATAGAAGTTATGCAAGGAGAACCTCCAGCATTTTCCATAATGTTGCAATAAAGAAAAGGACAATATGTGATCGTTCTGGTTGCACCCTGGGTTTCAAAACAAGGGTGAGGGGAGTCTTGCAGATACATTTGTATTGGCTTGTTCTGATCTGGCCTCAGCTGTTCTCCAAAGGCATTACTTCATTGGCCATGATCACCAGAATGTGTTTTGACTTGTCTGTTTTCCTCTACCCCAGCTGTGCCACTTGTTTCCTCAGTGACTAGGGATGCCTGAAGTAAGCCCAGCTATGCCACCAG